TCTAAGTTATCTAATTATTGGCATATAACTTTTCATAGTGTTCTTTCACAATCTTTTTTTCTTCTTAAAATTTCTATTATTTCTGTGATTTGAGTCTTACCTCTTTTTTTGTCATTAAGGGAAAACTGTTTTCTTATTCACAAATGACAACATTTCTGACAGCAAATGCCTAAATGTGTAGGGTTTTCCACACCAAGAAATTCTCTAGTTCTCTGCAGATACCAACTGGGCTTCTACAATTTAATTCAATTTGACACTAACTTCCCAGAGTTAGCGCAAACCCCACAGGCTATGGGCTCTGTCCCACAAGGTTGCCACCACTTAAGATGACAGTTACAAGTAGTGGGTCCCCAGGTTACCTACACTTCTGTCCAATTTGGATCCAAGTCAGGAGTTCCCATGACACCCTCCTCAAATTGACTAATTTGCTTTATTTTTAAAATTATTCTTATTGATTATGCGATTACAGTTGTCCCAATTTTTCCCCCCTTGTCCCCCCTCCACCCAGCAACCTCCACACTCTCAGGCCATCCCCACACCATTGCTCATGTCCATGGGTCATGTGTAGGGTTCTTTGCTACTGCATTTCCTCTACTGTACTTTACATTCCCATGGCTATTCTGTAACTACCTAGTTGTACTTCTTACTCTCCTCACCTCTTTACCCATTGCCCTACACTCCTCTCCCACCTAGCAACCATCAAAACACTCTCCGTATCCATGATTCTGTTTCTGTTCTTCTTGTTTGCTTAGTTTGTTTTTTGGATTAAATTGTTGATCGATATGTATTTATTGCCATTTTATTGTTCATAGTTTTGATCTTCTTATTTTTCTTAAATAAGTTTCTTTAACATTTCATGTAATAATGGTTTGGTGATGATCAACTCCTTTAGTTTTTTCTTGTCTGGGAAGCACTTTATCTGCCCTTTGATTCTCAATTATATCTTTGCTGGGTAGAGCAATCTTGGCTGTCGCTCCTCACTTTTCATGACTGAATATTTCTTGCCTATCACTTCCAGACTGCAGGGTTTCTTTTGAGAAATCAGCTGACAGTCTTATGTGGACATCTCTGTAGGTAACTAACTGCTTTTCTCTTGCTACTTTTGAGATTTCCTCTTTATCTTTAAACTTTGGCATTTTAATTATCATGTGTCTTGGTGTGGGCCTCTTTGCATTATCTTTTTTGGGACTCTCTGTGCTTCCTGGACTTGCATGTCTATTTCCTTCACCAAATTAGGGAAGTTTTCTTTCATTATTTTTTGAAATAGATGTCTAATTTCTTGCTCTTTCTCTTCTCCTCCTGGCACCCCTATGATGCAAATGTTGGAACATTTGAAGTTGTCCCAGAGGCTGCTTACACTGTCCTTGTTTTTTTTTGGATTCTTTTTTCTTCTTCTTGTTTTTATTGGCTGTTTTTTTCTTCTTTATGTTCCACATCATTGATTTGATTCTCAGCTTTATCCCCTGCACTCTTGGTTCCCTGTAGGCCATGTTACCAAGACAGGGAGTCATAGTAGCTCTATCTAATACATAGAAACAAACACAGGGAAGCTGCCCAAATGAGCAAAGAAACATGACCCAAATGAAAGAACAGATCCAAACTCCAGAAAAAGAACTAAAAAAAATGGAAACAAGCAATCGATCAGATGCAGAGTTTAAAACACCAGTTATAAGGATGCTCAAGGAACTTAGAGAGGACCTCAATAGATAAAAAAAGATCCAGTCAGAAATAAAAGACACACTAATTGAAATAAGGAACAACTTACAGGGAAACAACACTAATTAATGGAACTCAGGAAAACACTTTCCTTACATTTACTGGTTTATTATAAAGCAGGGGTCTCCAAGCTCTGAGCCGTGGACCACTACCCATTTGGACCGGCTAGGAACCAGGCCACACCAGGAGATGAGTTTGAATGTCATGCACTTGAATCATCCTGAAACCACTCCCCCAACCCTGGTCTGTGGGAAAATCGACTTCCACAAAACTGGTCCCTGGTGCCAAAAAGGTTGGGGACCACTGTTATAAAGGAAATGATAAGGACACAGGTGAACAGCGGATGATAAGGTTATTGGATGAGGTCTGGTAGGGTCCCAAGTGCAGGAGCTTCTGTCCCCATGGAGTTTGAGGTGCACCACCCTCCCTGCACATGGGTTTGTTCACCAACCTGGAAGCTCTCTGCCCTTTTATTAGGGCTTTTATAGAGATTCCACTACATAGGCATGATTGATAGGTCATTGGCCAGGTGATTAACTAAATCTCTAGCCCTCCCTTCTCTGGAAATCAGGAGTGGGTGCTAAAGTTCCAACTCTGGTTGATTCCTCCAGCAACCAGCTCTCATCCTCCAAATATCACCAAAATGGCATGAACTTGGTGTGACTGAAAGGGGCGTGTTATGAAGAACAAAAATTCCTCCTCTCACTCTCTTCACTCAGGAAATTATGAGGGTTTTAGGATTTCTGTGCCTTGAATCAAGGAGAAAGACTTTATGTATACTTCTTCCTATGTCACAATATCACAGCAAATCTAGCTAAAGATCTGTCAATTTTGTTCTTTTTTTTAAAAAAAACAGTTTTTGGTTTCATTGGTTTTCTCTATTTTTTTTTATTTTTCACTTTATTAATTTCTGCTCTAATCTTCATTGTTTTCTTCCTTGTGCATGCTATAGGTTTAATATGCTTTTCTTTCTCCAGTGTTGTAAGGTGGAAGGCTAGATTGTTACTTTAAGATCTTTCTGTAAAAAAAAAAAAAATTATTTATTTTTAGAGAGAGGGGAAGGAAGAGAGGGAGAGAAACACTGGTGTGTGGTTGCCTCTTGCATGCCCCCAGCTGGAGACTCGGCCCACAACCCAGGCATGTGCCCTGAATGGAAATCAAACCGGTGACCCTTTGGTTCCCAGGTCAGTGCTCAATACACTAAGCCACCCCAGCCAGGGCTGAGATCTTTCTTCACATAAGCATTTATAGCTATAAATTTGTCTTTAACCACTGCATTAGCTGTGTCACCTACATTTTGATATGTTGTGTCTTCACTGTCATTCACCTCAAGGTATTTTGTGATTTTTATTTTGATTTTTTCTTTAGCCCTTTGGTTATTAGTGGTGTGCTATTTAATTTCCATATATTTCTTTCTCAGTTTTTTCCATTTATTGATTCCTCTTTTAATTCTATTGTGGTCAAAGAACATACTTTGTGTTATTTTTATCTTTTTAAATTTGTTGAGATTTATCTTGTGACCTTGCATATGACATATCTTGGAGGCTGCATATGTGTGCACTTGAGAAGAACATATATTTTGTTGTTGCTATGTGGAATGTTCGATAGATTTCCATTAGGGCTTGTTGGTTTATAGGGCTTTTCAAGTATTTTACTTCTTTGTTGATTTTCTGTTCAGTTGTTTTATCCGTTATTGAAAGTGGGGCATTACTATTGTTTAATCGCCTATTTTTTGCTTCATTTTTGTCAGCTTTTGCTTCACATATTTTGTTATTCTATATATTAGGTGCATATATGTTTATAACTGTTATACCTTCCTGGTGTATTGACCCTTTTATCATTATAAAATGTCTCTCTTTGTCTCTAATATTGTATTTTCAAATTTTAGTTAAAAATTATAAAAGAGAAAGCTGATGAAAGACAAGCGTAGGCAGACCTTATTTTATTGCACTTCACAGATGCTGTGTTTGTTTGTTTTTTACAAATTGAAAGCAAGGGCCTCTGCCAGACGGAAGGTTGTGCCTTGATTTATGGCAGTGGTCTGGCGCTGACCCACGGTATCTCCGAGGTCTGCCTGAACAAGCTTGTGAAGTCAAGTTCCCACTTTCCTCAGTCACCTGTGTCTCACGTGCATCTCATGGCCACCTGTTCCACCCCGACCAGGTGATCCGAGTTAGAGGCAGAGTAAGCTGGCCATTCTTGAAAACCTCAGAAGGAAGGAGCCCCTCGATCACGGGTGTTCAAAGGCACAAGAGCACGAGGAGCCTGAAGCGTGTCTTCATTCCAGGTCCTTGCTACTCAAGGCGTGACCAGCAGCACCAGCGTCCCTCAGGTGCTAGCTGAAAATACAGAACCCGAATCTCCACCCCAGACCTACTGAGCCAGAGCCTGTATCTCACAGGTGACACATTAACACGTTACACCCTAATAAGCAGTGGAAAGCCCCAGGGTGTCCGCCCAGGCTGTGCGCTGCACTCGCCAGCAGGGTTCTTTAAACCTATTGAGGCAGGTGGGTCCCACCACAGACACTGGGGATCAGAATCTTGGGGCGGTCCCAGCACAGGGGATTCCAATGCGCAGCCTGTATTGAGACTCCCTAGGACAACCAATATCTCCTTCTACTACACTTCCGTCCTATCATTTGTGATAAATACTATTTTATAGAATGCTTCCTACCTACCATCACTGTGCCAACTATTTCACTTATCATCTCCCTTTAACCTCTACAATATCATAAACATGGCATTGGCATCTTCATCTTACAGAAGAGGAAACTGAGTCTTAGAGTTCAAGTACATGTCCAGCCTCATACAGTCCTTCCCCTCTGCCGGGACCATGTTAGGAGCTCAGCTGATGCCAGCCAATGCTCTACCTGAAAGCCTGGCCTCAAATCGAAATCACCATCATGCACACTTTCCACCATATCATACCTCCCTTCCTTCTGGAGGTTAGGGGTCTGTGCTGCTCACGATAACATTCCCCACGTATTAGGCAGCTACACGAATACTTCGGGGGTCGCCATGCTGGTCAGCAGAGAATGGAGCACAGAGGGGACCCCTTTACAATTTCCATTTCTGCTCCAGTTCTCGGCCCCCTCCCGTTAGCAGACATTTGCACAGGCTTTTCGAAGGCCTGTATGATCCAGACTTGTGGCCCCTTCACACCAAACCGTAACCCAGATCGTCTGCTCACTCTTGCTTCCCACTGAGGCGCCCCCTCTACTCCGACACGTACCTCATGCTCGCACCCAGGCCCCCACGAAAACCCGAGAGAGATCAGTGAGTTACTCTGATGTTTATTTTGATGCATCTTAGTCCACACAGTTGGTATAAAATCAGAAAAAGCAAAGCAAAAAAGAAAAAAAAAGGTCTGGAGTCTTAGCATCAGAAGGGCACCATATATACATCTACAGTTGGTGGCCGATACAAGTCATTGCCAGACAGTCCTTGGAGACAGAGAACAGCCTAGACCCCCCTGATCCCCAGAAACGAATGGCCCCAGGGGGTCTAGAGACTTGTCCTGATGCTCCGACCGCAAGAATAATGTGGGAGCGCTAAAGGCTGTGTTTATTATTTATCATAGTGATCATAGCAGCCTAGCTAGGTACAAAAGCAGTTATAAACCATTTATATTACACAGAATTATTCAGGTCTTCATTCTACTTTGTGGTGTAAAACTGTTAACTGAATTTCCAGTGAGTAGTTTAGAAGATTAGTGATAAGGAATGGTAAATACATAGCACCATTTCACAGGCTTTTTTTTTTGTCACCGATTTCTCATCTAGACATGTGACAAGGACACCCTCCCTCAAGGGCAAGTAGTCGAAGCCACGTGTCATGATTTTTGCCAAGGGCTCCAGTTTTAGGGTTTTGCCCGCGCGAGCGCAAGGCTTCCCACGGGCTGTGGGCAGTGCACATCCCTGTGAGAACACGAGGTCGCCCAGGATAAGAGGGCTTTTGGCCATTTGGGTCTGCTACCCACACTTTGGTTTTCTAAATGAGGTGGAGTGGGAGGGAGGTATCTTCTTTCAGATGAAAGGGAAGGGGCAAGATGGAGTTATTTTATTTCTGAGGGGAAAAAAATGAAAAACAAACAAAAATACTGAACTTGATTATACAGTTAGGATGTAAAGTTCCTTAGCTATTTCTTTAAGGTTTCAACACAAGGCTGATGGTCAACATATAAAGCAAACAATACTATGTACATATATGTAAAAAGTGTTATAAATAGGTTTTATAAACCGTAGATATTATATACATCTTCAATCAACACTAACCCCACCCCCCAACTGCTTTCTGTTTGGTTTGGTTTCAGTTTGGGTTTTTTTGGCTAGCTTTTAGGTTTTTTCGTGGGTTTTTTTTTTTTTTTCTGTTTTCAGGTTTCCTTCCTCCCTTCCCTGCGTCTGCTCAGAGCCTCAGTCTGGGCCCCTCATTCGCGTTTCCGCAAGATCACATAGATGACGCCGCTGAGAAGAGCCAGGGGGAAGGCCACCCAGGCCAGGATGTAGGCAAATCCATAGGAGTAATCGGAGTTGAGGTGCCATTCTGAGTGTCTCACGGTGTAGATGGACGCTGCGCTCATCACACACAGACCTGGGGAAAGAGAGCAACAACCTGAGCAAGGGAGAGTTCACAGTGGGGACCCCTCCCCACTTCCCCCAGGGCAGGCTCCACAGGGCCCTGGGCGCCGGCGCGCACCCTTGCTGCTCCTGACCGCACACCCCCACAGGCCGCCCAGGTAGACGGCGGGGAAGGCAGGCCGCGCCGTGCAAGGAGAGCATGGATAGCTCTGCAAGGAGTCTGCTGCCGGCTCCAAACCAAGAGGAGGAGGCTTGAAGATACAGGAGCACTCGGCTTCCAATCCACATGACCCCAGCCATCATCTCCATCTTTTCACCCCATCTCTCTTGCTTTAACTGTCACCAGTTCCCAGTTGACACAAGGCGGCCAGCAAGAATTCAGGTCGCAAGAGAAACCCGCCTCTATCTCTGCAAGGAGGGTTGGGTGTGGGAGCTCCCGGACACCTGCGAGCCACTGTGCAGGTGCGTGGGGCGCTGCCTGGAGCTGGGGAAGGTGAAATGGCCCTTTACCACTGTCGGAGTCACGTCATGGCCGCCGTGCCGGGCTCCGGCCAGAACACGGGGCAGACGTCCCCGCTCATCCCCTCAGCAGGGCGGCCACACAGGAGACAGAGAAGGCAGTGCCAACGGGCGCTGCCAGGCAGAAGACAGGACACACGGAGATGAACAAGGTGAGCATGGAGCCAGGGGAAAGGCCCGGGTCCGAGTGGGACACACAGCCCAGAGGAAGGAGACCACAAGGGCAAGCTCATCGCACCTGGTTCCTTTCAACAGTGCTTGGTGCCCCGAGGTTAGAGTTGAAGCCTGAAGAAGGGTGGAATGATAGCACAGACACAGGTAGGACAGGCGGCCCTCCCTTGCCCACCAGGGCAGCCCTTTGGTGTGGGAAGAAGAAACACCTTGGCCTTGGTCCCCATGACGCAGGCACGTTCAAGCATGACAGTCCGTGCCCACCGTGATCATCAGAATCCCCTGCAGTGGGGCAGGGAGAGGGGGTTGATGTCGTCAGCACCCAACCTCGAGCTGCACAAAGCCTGCTCTGTTCCCTCCTGATAGCAGGGTCTTTGAAAGGCTCTGAGTGACTCTATTATGAAGGCAACGGGCCGTGTGGGATTCCTGCGGTGCCAGCGCTCCCGATGATCTGGACCACCTACAGCTAACCTCACTGCTATTTGGCTGCTATGTGGCAGGACACTGCACCTTTGTTTGGATAAAGTGCAGAATTGGGAATATGTCACTTTCACGCTCCCCCCACCCCGATAAGATTGTCCTTCTGCAAGTCAAAGCAGAAGACTCCCACTCAACTGGCCCCCCTTGAGAAAGCCACACAATAGTCTTAGAACTACAGCGGGACCAGATCCAGAACCCTGCTACCTACAGAAAGTCGGGGAGACAGCAGAGACAACTGTGTCAGAGGGGAAACCACAGCTGGCCAGCTTTTGCTTGAGAAGTACAGTTTTGATCTGCTACGAACACATTCGATTTGTTTTGTGGTCCATGCTCCCCAGTGGTCTCCCCTACAGTGCATGGCTCACCTCTCCGAAGTGCTCATTCTTATCTTTAATAAACATTGACGTGGTCTCTTGGACTACATCTGAGCTCAAGGAGAGGGGGAGGTATAAACAGAAGGCTAAAAGGCCAGGACAATGATTCTTGTGTTGGCAGGGCTTCCAAATGGGGTGTGTGTCTAACCAGAACTGGCATGAAAAATGCCATTGTAGCCATGGAGGCCAGCTGTGCCCAGATTTCACCGGCAAAGAAAACATCAGAGAGAAACATTCCATCTCCAACCAAGGCGGGCAGAGAGAGGCAGGGTACACGGTGCCATGACAGACTAGATGGATTGACTTACATGCCATTTATCCAAGTGGGATCTCAGAAGTAAATGAATTTAAGTTTTGCTTCAAAAAGCAATAGGCTTAGATTCTTACAAAGTCAAAGAGAGGATTCACACTTTATAGTGATTGCTGTCAGGAGACTGATGTTTTAGGGAATGCGTTGTTACAAGGCTGTCTGTATGTAAAGCAATCGATGTGCCCTGAAATCCAGAGCAGTTAATGCCACAACACAGTCCCTAAAAGTCCAACGTCGCTCCCCATAAACGCACTGTGACCCGTGTTCTCAGCAAGCAGTGAGTTGGAAAGGCAGTTATGAAGGTTCCCATGATGACGGTAAGTGACGCTACTGACACACTGCAAGTCATCTTCAAGTGGAAGGGCCCAGGCCCTGTCCAGACAACATAAAAGTCCTGGGCGCTCAAGAGTTCCCAGGAGTTTCCCCGTGTCTCAGGATGTCTGGTCTGAAACCAGTCCCTGAAACTCTCCCTAGAGCCCTCTTGCAGAGGAGGGCTCAAGCTCCCTTTAATAATGACAGCAACTGCAGGTGGTTAAGTAGAGCCCAGAGCTTTTGGAAGGGAGCAACCAAAGGGCCAAAGGCAAAGGAAGAGATGGAGGGAATTCTCTAAACTTCCTCATCTCTATTTCGTTTGGTTCCATAAACGTGCAATGAGTCCCACTGAGTACAGGAACTGTTCTAGATGCTGAGAGTGCCCAGATAAACGAGACCTGGCCGATAACTTCAAAGGGTGAGTGGCATCCAAAGACAGACATGTCAGTAGAAACTTCCACTATGGTATGATGTGACTTCAAGAGATGGAGAGAGAAATGCACTGGGTGCTCTGAGAGCAGGGATGGGCCCTGAGCCCAAAGGGCATGTAAGAGTCAGCCAGGTAAAGACAGGTTCCCAGGAGGGGAATCCAGGCAGAAGGAAGAACATAAGTGAGACAAAGAAAACAGAGAGCTTGGTAGAAACCACCAGCAGGTCATAAGAGTGTCCCACGATCCAGGGTGAGCCGTGTACGAGGAAGCTGAGAGCCCACTCAGGCCAGGAAAGAGTGGGCCTTCACTCATGTAGGAGAAGCTGTGTGGGGGGGAACAGCTTCAGCAGAGGAGAAAGCATGATCAGATGTATGTTTTAGAAGGATCACCCCGTCAGCAGGGTGGGAAACACATTTATGGGTGGGGACAAGGCAGGGGACAGAAAGGTGCATGAGCTGGCTTTTGCACAGCGACAATACTGCCAGCAAGTAAAAGAAAAGGAATTGACAAATGTCTCTGCAGGATGCTACGCAGCGGCAGGACTCTGGTGGGCTGGACACAGGAGGAGGGAGGGCGACTCTGGTATGATCGATTGTCTGGTGGGTTAACTTAGGTGACTGGGAGAACGGTAAAACTTGGAAGATGAGGAAAAAAACAGTTTCGAGTAGCAAACAGTCAACAGTATTGAGAGGAGTGGAGGAATTCAGCAAATGACTTAAATGTGGACCTCGGCAACCTTTGCCAAGCAGTGCCTCTGAGAGCCAGCAGCAGAAGCCAGAGTGAAGCCGGGGGAGAGTGACCGTCAGGCGAGACCACCTGGCTGGCCAGTGGGAGGTGCCTGGGCGCCGCTGGTGTGACGAATGAGGGAGTGTCTTTTTCTCCCCCACCTCCTCCTAAGGGGAGTGAGGAGGGGCAGGAAGGGGCTGGAGGTGCCATTATCCTGGAAGCACTGGGCTCTACGTTGAGTGGCACACAGCCTTCTCTGCCCTGCTGACCAGTTTCCATTTCCAGCATCCAAGTGACCCTGCAGCTAGAAAGTCACCCACCGCATTCAAGATTCTGACCTGGGCGTGGCCAGGGCAACATCTGGAATGACTCTCACAGAGGGGGTTTCCAAACGTGGCATCCGACCGAGGCCGTCCTTGAAGCACTCCGAACAGGGGAGGCATCGTGCTTTTATTCACCCTTCAAATTACTTTATTCTAAAGCCGCATTATCTATATCTATATCTACATCTATATCATCTATCTGTCTGACAAAAGAAACAAAGCAAATAGAAACAATTCAATGCACTCAGGAGTCTCCTTCTCCCACGTTTCCTGTTCCCCTTAATTACAGTGAACAGCAACTACGCATGGGCCTGAGTCTGAAGCTGCCCACAGAGCACGATTCGCAGTCATCCAACGGGCAGGTGGCTCAGGGCCTTCCCTTACGGGGCCTGCACCGAGCTCACTGCCGGCCGTAGGCAGGGAAATACATTACACAGGCATATTTTTCTTTCACATCTGCATCTATATGGCTTTCTTGATGTTTTCCCATCTCGTGCAACCCAACCCAACCCAGCAGAGCGAGGGCAAGGGTAAATGCTTCCGGGAACAGGTGGCTACAGGCTCTGACAGGGAGTCATGCAGGATCAGGATGGCGCGTCCCTAAGAAGGGGATTTAGGAGAATGGGTGGCTCGTGAACAGGATGAGCGGTCTGGCAGAAATGTCCGAGAAGAACTCACAGTGGGACTGGGGACAGTTTAACGGCTGAACCAGTGGTTCCTGACCCTGAATGAATCGGGGCCACCCAGGGAGCAGCCCCAGCTAAGAGCTCCGAAGCAGGACTCTCCAGGGATGAAGGTAGAGCACTGGCCTTTTTAAAAAGCACCCCCTCTTTTGAAATGTAATTCTGATGTGCAGCTGAGATCGATAAGCACTTAACTAGATGAAAGCACCTCCTGATACGTCTTTAGGAAGCAGAAAACCTATGAAGTATATAATTAAGGAAAGATAGTTTTTAAATGCGAGACTCGTGGCTTATTATGAAATGGAGAAAGGATGATTCAGCAAAGCAAGTGGACCTATGGCCACACGCAGAGCTGTGATCTGGAGCAAGGCAGAGACAGCTCCTAAATCTCTCCTTGGCCCCAAGAGCCACACCTTTCACCTGCTTTTGCTGCACCCTTAGCTGTAAGTAAGATCTGTGAAGATCACAACCCTCCAAACAGAAGCTATGCGGGCAACCGTCACTGGGGAGCCTCAGTGGACATTCTGGTGGCTTCCATTCAAATGCTTTAGGCTTTTAGGATGCTTCGGCCCTACATGGACCCTACCCATGGCGGCGGGAACCCTTACACTTGACATCCCATGATTGTGGGGCTTCTTCCTTCCCCTCCCCCACCCTCCCTCCGTTCCTTTCCTCTTCTTGTTTTTTGTTTGTTGCTTTTCTGATGTGTTTCTCTATATTAAGCTGTAACATCTCAGGCTGTCACCAGTTCTCAACTCCAGCAACCCTTCCCTAATTTTCTCTCTAGTTACTGGCTTCTTAATGGATTGCGAATTAGGAAACACACATGACAAAGTTGATTGAGAATCCTCGGACGTTAAGAGTCAGGAAATCTGTAAGTCAAATCCCTAACTCTTTTCGTTCTCAATTTTAAAGGAAAAGACCCTACAGCAAGTTCCAGCGCAACATTCCAGGACCTGCGCATCCCAGAAGACAAACTTCCAGATGGTGTTGACTGGAGTTCACAACTAAGAGCAGAACCTTCTTAGGACTTACAAATTACAACTGCTATTTTGACTCAACATTTCTAACCCAAGATAAAGTCCTATTCAAATACTGACAGTTGCACTGACACATTGATAACTGGAAAGTAGGTCTTGTGAGAGATAAGCAGCTAGATTTGAAGGGCATAAAGGAAGAAGAAGGCATGTGCTTTTAAACTCGGGGTTTTTTATAGCAGAGTTCTAAAAGGCTGGTATTGAGTTCAGAGGGGAATCAAAACAGCGAAGTGAATATGGACAGAAAATATCAACACCTAAGAGTTTCTGTTGAATGAAATACTGTAACACACGGTACAGCGAGGGCATGGCATTTGTGACTCAGTGGTTCTTATCTCTGGACTTTGGGTTTTGACTTAAAATGACCTTGTTACAGAATTTGAAGCTGAAATATCTCGGAGGGGAAATGAGGAGGAAGCACTGCCTGCTCTGAGGAGCCCTTTCAATAGTAACCTCACTTTTCTCAGTCCCCTGCTTTTAGGTTAGTTCTGCCGGTGCAGGCTCGCATTCCTCGCAGAGATGATAAAACGACACAGGCCGGCATTGAGCCTCCACTATAAATCAGATTCCGTGAAGAATAATACAAAGATCAGAGTTTCCACATTGGGTTTTCTGTTCTTAAAAATGTGGCTGTATTTTGTATCTCTAAATGAAAAGAGGTACCTAGCTAGGATCGGGGCCTGTGGCGTGAGACGGCGTGTAAGCATTGAATTCCTCACTGGGTGACCTTACACATTCAGCTTATTCTCTCCCAATGCCAGTTTATTCATCAGTAAGGCAACAAGCTTGTAGAGATCAAATATAAATATTTTATGAAACTTCTGCTTCCTAAATCTGTATCCTTTTATCTTAAGGATACATCCATTGATACAAGAGATATAATCATTTGCATTTATATCAAACTTCAATGGTGACCCAAAGGAACCCCAGAACACTTTTTGGTTTTGTATATATATGAGTCTGGTTGGAAATAGAGTGAATAATGCAACTCTGCTTCTAACACACCTAGAAATGATCTCTTACTGCATAATTAGTAATTTAACAAAGGTGGTGACAACCCAGGAGCTGGGTTTGGTATAATAAAACTGTGCAAGGAGCAAAGCAGTATTTGGTTTTGAAATCCTAAAACTGTGCATATTGAAATGTTATGTTTAAGTATTTAATGAGAAGTGGGTGTCCAGGTCACTTCCTTTTTCCAGGAAAGGTAACTCTCCGGCTTCTACAGAAGATCATCAACATCCAGCCTCAGGCTGTGTCTTATCATACAGCCCTGTGTAAGCCATTGTATCCACCATCCACCCATCTGCTCATCCGCCCATCCGCCCACCCACCCATCCACCCACGAAGGACGTGGACTCTTTTCAACCCTCCAAAGGACCTAAACACAAGATGGTGACTCAGCACCATGGACATTCTGACAACCAACTAAAACAAGAGATGCCACGCCATTTGCGTACTCTGACAGCGAGAATCTAGAACATCTCACAGTACCCAGAGGTACCCTGATCCACATGGAGTTGGTGATTTATTAACTTGGACTATAGAATCGACCACTGCCTTTTCGTCTTACTTCTCTCCAATATCCTGCTGACCCAGTCAATCAGCAGTCAGTAGACAAAAGGATGTGTCGATGGAGTAAAACATTGGTCAGAATCTAGAGACAAAGTTGGAATATGTTGCCGTCTACGGTAGAAGCTTCTAGGACTCTGCATGTCATACATATGGACATCCCGCCCAGTGGGGGAACCTGAAGACAGTTTAGGGAGAAGATAAAGGTCTCTTGTGCATTGGCAGGGTCCCGTGTTTGGAAATGGTGGCAGGTTACACAGTGGTGCCAAAATGAAGACACCCGCCAATGACAACAGTAAATTAAAGCCCAGTGGGACCGAGGAGCTGGAGTAAAAGAGAGTACGAGTTTTCAGTGTGGCTCCAGCGCCGGTTAAGTGAGAGACACGTGCTGAGGACAACCTCGGCCGCTCTCAGCAGCACATCGGGCCATTTTCTACACTGAGCCAGTAACGTGCTGCGCAAGACTCCATCCTCGAGCCTGGCCTCTGCTGAACTGATAACCTCAGCATTTACCTCCGATTATGTGTCCAGACTGTGGCTTCCTTCCTGGTGGTAGGTCTGGCTTAGTTAGGGACCTTCTTCCCCGAGCCCCAGCCCATTTCCTGTGTACATCTTTCCACGAAGAAGTGGTTTGTTCCCAAATCCTAAGGTATATGCACACATGCACACACATCCCTGCACTTTATGAAAACCATCCAGTAGGCAGACCCAGGAAAGCCAATCATTCTGGGGCCACGTCCTTCTACTGACCGATCATTCCGCAGCCTTGGACAGGCCCAGCTTCCAGGTGAACTCTATCGTCCCCACTTACCAGCAAGGATTTGGAAGATTCCAGTGAGGTAAAAGCGGCCCCCCTTGGTGAGGGTGAAGAGCTGGCAGAAGAACAGGAACAGGGACAGGACACTGAAGATGACGGACAGGATCATGGTGGCCTGGACAGACTGCAGCCATTCTGGAGGGAAGAGACACTGGGTTAGGACAAGCCGGCCATGGCCAGGGCAGGGCTGTCACAAGGAGCACGGGCCTGGTGCCCCATGGCCCTGGAGGGCCACAGCCCTGCCAGGCAGCACAAGTCCTCTTTTATGAGCAAAATCAGACAATTCACTTTTGTACTTTTAAAAGTCAGTTGTGGACATTTTAAGAAAGGGCTGTAAGGAAATACCTATAGTAATATCACTAGCAGTTAAACTCAAATTAAAATATATCGAATTGACTTCCAGTCTTTTTGCCAAGTGTTTTACTTACACATATATGTATCTATTAAAGAGGGTCTGAGCCCACCCCCTGCCTTCTCTCTTCTTGCCCTCAGAGGTTTTTGAAGGGCTCCTGGAACTCATTTTATGACAGGAATCGTTTAAGACCACTGTTCAAAATATGAGCGTCCCCCAAAGAGATATAGGTATCCTGGGGATGGATGAGGATGAGCACATGGTGGACAATTGGAAGAAAATGCTGATGGAGAGGAGCTATGCAAATCCATTTGCTCAGCCAAGTTCTGTCTTTTATTGGTCAACCTTGATCTTCATCATTAAACTCAGCACAGAGCACTGTGTGCTCAGTCAAGTCACACGCCCGGGGATTACGGATCACACTTCCACGCCTTCCCTGAAGCCTCCAGCCTTAGATCCAATCTCCAGGCCTCCAACGGAAATTCTGGCAAGGAGGAGAACACTGCCCTTCGCTATCTACTGCAAAAGGACGTCACTTCCCCGAGGAAGGAGAAGAGGACACAGGCTGAGTTCAGCACTCCAGAGGGAAACCTACGCGTCCGCTTAGGAGAGAGGCACGTGGCCTTGCCCACCTGTCACCCGCGCCCTTTCTTCCAAGTGCCAGAGGAGTGCTGGGGTGGGCACTGCTCTAAACAGGGAAAGCAGCGGAGGAGCCACAGGGTCTTATCCTCTCTGCGCAGTAACAGGCTGATATGCAATGGCTCAGAGAAAAACCCATGGCCGCCCAGCACAGCATTCAAAGCTGTGACATGGGAGTGGCTTATAATCGTAACTGAATGCAGTAAAGCTGGTTTGAGTTACCAGTGGTAGCTCATGGGGGCATTTTCAAGGTGCTGGTTAGATGAGCTCTTACTGGAGCGTCACATAAGACTTCCCAGACACAGGGTAGAAGTATTTTAGAGTTGGAAGAAACATGGGAGATCAACTAACTCAGCTCCTTTGTGCTGAAAGAGACTTCAGGGATGTCTGGAGGAGCCCAGTGGGCCCAGCCAAGCCGGGAGGCCCTTGATTCCAGCCTCGTGTTCTTTTCACTGTGACAAAACATATGCTCTTTTACATTTTTCCAATTTCTTCATCAGTTAAGACACTGATGTCTAATGAGTTGTGAGCCGTCCTGACTTCATTTTTATATATCTCTAATTAAATGTGTTTGTCTGTATCCAGAAAAGTGGTTCTCCTTGAAGAACAGTCTGCAATAAAGCTAATGTTGCCATAATATTATTTTTCTTTAAATAAACCAATTATCCAGCACTCTAGTGGATGAAACTAGAAACATAAAGAAATCTGAGATGCAAATCCACGACTGGAACAAAGAGCGACCCAGCCTGGCTGGGGAATGCCCTTCGTTTGCGCCCGCAGCAGGAGCCTGGCTGGTGCAGACGCCACCGGGACTTCCTTAGTCTTTACCTCCACTGTCATACTTAGAGAAAACTCAAAATCCAATATGTTAAATCTACATGAACAGAGAAAGTCCTTTATATTAAATAATGCAACTAAATCCTTCTCAAAACTTCATTTACCGATCGTTGGAACTTTAGTCTCAACCCCACTACAACTGAGATATTTTGCCAACAGTTATTTCTCAGATCAGATCAGAATTAGAGGATTAAGGCGGTGTTCATTCATTGAGCATTGATTGAGCACCTACTGCTGGGAGCCAGGCCCTTTGGTTGGTTCTGGGGATCCCAAGTTGAAGAAGGTTTTCAACCATTAAGCACAATAAATAAACATGTAAATGAAGACAGTAAGTCCAATGATATCATCAGTCCCAATATACGTGACTGGATTCAAGTCACTCATTAAATGATGTAGAATTTCATCTTGAATTACATAATTCTTATCTATAGTCTCATACAAGAGATACACCTATGTCAAACAAGAAAAAATCAAAGATTTTAAAAAGAGACGCTAAGTAAATATTAACAAAAAGAAAGCAGGTATACTAATAATAGAATCAGACAAAACTGACTTCAAATTGAAAAGGATAAAAGTGGCCAAAGAGGGATATTTCATAGTGAGGAAAGATCCAGTTTACCATGAAGAAATAATAGTCAGAAACCTTCATGCATGTAACATGGCCTGGAAAAAGGATAAAGCAAAAAACAAGTATGAGAAGAAACTGATAAAGTTACAATCATACTGGAAGACTTTAGCATACCCCTCAGAACAGATAAATGAAGTCGGTCAAATATAGTAGCATATAGGTTATTTGTATAACAGAATTAACTAATTCAATTTGATAGACATATAGAAAATTTGTGTCCATATAACAAGGACTATAAATTATTTTCAATCATACATGAGACAGTTTTACAAACTATGTTTTAGGCCACAAGAAAAGCTCCATAAATCTCAAAGAAAACAGACATAATATAGGCACAACTAAAAGCAAACAGGAAGTAGAAATCAAAAATGAACTAGACAAAATAAATTTGGGGATTTAAAAACAGTATTCCAGATAATGCCTTGGACAAAGAAATCAAGATGAGGAGTAAAAATGTCTTCAGAGAAGAACAATGTTGAGGGCACTACTCATCGGACCTGCGGGCGGCGCCGGAGCAGAGGAACTGGTGCACCCACAGGGCTTCCTCTAGGAAGCACTATAAACGGGGGGACTAAGCTTTGAGCTGAAGAACTTAGAAAAGGAAGAATTAAATCTAAAATTAATAAGCTTTATACTAACAGAAGCAGAGATTAATAAAATAGGGCAAAATATAATTGATTGAAGAATCTGAATTTTTCTTGGGGGGGAAATCAATAAAATGAAGTAGATAAATTTTATTAAAGTACATAAGAAAAGTGATAAAGAAACAGAAATAGACTATATTTCCAGATAGAAACATTCAAAGTTGTGAAGATGCCAGTTTTCTACAAAGTAATCTAGAAATTGAATGCTATCCTAATTAATATCGCAACTAAACCTTAACAAAAGTGTTAAAAATTCATCTAAAATACAATGAGCAATAACAGCTAAGAAAAAATTTGAACCATACAATGGCAAAGACCAAAAACAGACAAATAAACAAACATAACCAATGAGGCAGGACGTCACCCACCAGATGTCAAGCATATAGATACACAAAGCTTATACTGACATGGTAACATCTCAGCAACTCAAACAATGTGATATTAGTTATGACAGTAAAATACAATGAGACAGAAAGAAGACTTTGGAAGTATACATGTGATCCGAGTAAACAATAAACACACCATATAAATCATCGGGAAAGAACCCAACAAACAGATAAGTGGTTTTGGTGATCTACTTGTCAAAAAATAAAATTAGATCTAGCTCACATCATTCACAAAATTCAATTCCAGATGTATCAAAAAGTTAAGTGTAGAATTAAAAAGCCATATAGACATGTGATTCACAAAGGAGAAATACGAATAACCAACAGAAATACTTAAATATACTCAGCCTCACTAGTAACCAGGAAAATGCACGTACAATCCACGAGGAGTGTGATATCAATGTTTATCTACCACACTGACCAAAAAAAAAACAAACCCAAAAATTGATATCAACAGAGTTCATGTGTGATAGATACCTCTATACGCTATTCACAGAAATAATAATATAATCATCTTTTTGAAACCAGCAAGTTGACAGAATATACTCAAGTTTTTGAACTCCTATAACATGATTCCACAATTTAATATCTATATTTTGGATAAATACTTACACATAAACTCAAAGAGAAATGAATAAGGATGTTCACTGTAATATCATTCCTATAAGTGAAAATAAATTAGGGTATATCCCTACGGTAGTTAAAAAATCATGAGTTAGAACATGAAAAATGTTTGAAAGATCTCCAAGACAATGAAAAGAGGAAGGTATACACACAACATGATGCCATTATGTAAACACACACCAAATAGCTCTATGTGAATATACACATACACATGCATGAACGTGTGCGTTTATTCAAAAAAGAGCCAGTGCCACACTACACTAACATCAAAGGCCACCCCCAGCAACTGGAACTGGAATGAAAGAGAGTTTGGTTCAGAAGGCCTTTCCTTTGATCTATATCATTTGATTTATTTTTAATAAGGAGAATATTTTCATTTCTTACTTAAACAATTAAAGTCAATTTAAAAGATTACAAGGTAAAGAAGACATGGCAGTCAACAATAAGTTAGGGTTCCAAAACCCAGTGAGCTACTGGAACTCGGGCAGGACGGGGTTCCACGTACGAAGAACAGAGGGCTCTTCCTTCCCTGAACTCTGTCCATTCAGAAGCTATGCAGGGCAGAGAGGGAAAAGCAGGGTGAGCCAGGGGGAAGCAGCTGGCAGTCCAGCCCCAAATGGCTGGCTGAACAGTCAAAAGCCCAGTTGGCGTTGTTCCAAAGGGAAGCCCATGAGGTCCCAGGAAACGCTGAGGTTCAGAGGACACTGCTCCAGCTCCAGAATCGTGCATTGGAGCTGGACTAGACCCAGGCGGGCGGAAATAAACAGCAGGCATCTCACGCCCCAGGTGTGGCAGGTGTTTGATCCCAGGTCACGGGCTCCAGTTAGAACAGGCCAGGCTGCCTCTGCTACCTAGTTGTGCTGACCCCCTTTTTAACTCGCCACGTACTGTGTTTCTGGCCTGGACCTCCTCTTCTCTAACATGAGATACTATGTCACAGGGTGGTTGTCACGATCAGATAGAAGAGCTGTTATGAGAGATCTGTTGATGGGTCGTATTGGAATGGCTGGTGTTGAGGGGCAGGG